ACCCCCCATCGGATCCTTCAAATGATACAAACTCGACACCACCGAGCCCGTCGTGCACCTCGTCCTCCCATCCTTCAGCCAGTGCAGCTCCGCATCGTCGTCCGGCCTTGCAAGGGACGCGAACATGAAGTAGTACGGGTTCTGGAGGAAGGATTGGGCGTAAGATGAGGGGTCGATTTGTGTGGAGGTGGTGTTGTCTTCGGAGGAGGAGTGGGGGTTGGTGGCGTCGGCGGTATTGGAGGGACCAGAGGGGCCGGAGTGGGAGGAGGACGAAGAGCTATGGTGGGAGGGATGGGAGGTGTGAGGAGGGACAGGCGACCCAGGTGCGCTCGGCCCTGCGCTTGCGATCGAGCTGTTCCGGCGCCTCCTAGAGGTGTTGCTTCCACCTTGTCCTCCATGGTTTCCTCCGTGGTGAGACCCTCCGTGGTGCGACGAAGATCCTTGACGAGATCCCTGTTGTTGGGCCGGGTCGATAACGCGCAGCTGGACGATAGGCGGGGGGTCGATGGGGCGTCTGTCGGCTGGAGAACGCAAATGGTACATATCAGATGTCAGATGTGTGTGATAAGAATGATTTGGAGAAAGAAAAAAAGAGAGAGAAGAGAGAAAGAAGGAAAAGAAAAGGAAGAATGCTCACCCTTCCCACCAACCCCACACATCCTCGCCTGCTTCGGCTCCTGGCGCACGATGAGCTCGTAGATCCTGTAGTTGCGCCGCGCGAACATAGCATCGGCATCGAGCGCGAAGACAGGTGTGGCGTGGAACGGGAAGTGCGCAATCGTCATCGTCATCGTCGTTCGTCGTTGATGCCGGTCGGTGTCGGTGTCGAGGTTGTCGTGCACCAGTTGTTGAGGAAAGGTCGTAGGCGTGGGTGGGTTGATGTCCAATGTCCGATGTCCGATGATGGTGGTGGTGGTGGTGGTGACGCCAGGGTGATCAGGTACGGTCGATCGAGCACACGCGAGTCGAGTGGGTCGGATAGGCAAGCAGACGCCGATATGTAAAGGGCGGATGAGATAGGGCAGAGCAGGAGAAAGAGAGGAAGGGAAGAGAGGGAAGAGAGAAAGAGTTAGCGCGGTGCACACGGTAATATAACACGAGCCCAAAAATTCAAAACAAAAAAAAACCAAAATGTGAAAAACCGGCAATCGAAACTAAAACCCGGTGCGAAGACGAAGGCGAAGTCACAAAGGTGACGAACAATGTAAGTAAGGAAAGTGAGGAAAGGAAAGGAAGGAGGGAAGCAACAGGGGAGCCGAACAGAAGAAAGTGAATGTATGGAACCAGTGAGGCGAGGTGTCTCTGACTGCCCAACGGCCAACACGGTGGGAGTTGGATGGGCGTGTGGGTGGATGAAGCATAAAGCCACAGACGCGAGGGAGAGAGCAGGAGCAAGAAGGTTGGGTGGGTAAGTGGGTGGGTAAGGGCAGGGGCGATTCCCAGCTGATGCTGATAGGGAGAGGGTACACCTCCCATCCCACACCCGACAACGGACAGGTCGCCGTGTACACCCGACTCACAGCCCGACCCGAGTCCTATCCGCCGTCCCCCTTTACCCACGACGAGACCCACTACTCACGACGACCCAACACCCGACCCGACTCACACCCACCAACACCCACCCGCACCACCCGACACCGAGTCCCGAACCCAAGGACTCGGGCCCGCCCATACCCGCAACCCAACTCATCGATCCGCACCCGCACGAAAAGGTGAACGTATAATTAAAAGGCGAAAAGCGAAGGGAGGAAAGGCGGAAGGGCGAGGGGCGAAGGCGAAAGTAGGAAAGGCGGAAGGGCGAGGGGCGAAGGCGAAAGTAGGAAGGGCGGAGGTACGGAGGGAGAAAGTACGAAAGGCGAAGGCGAAGAGAAGTAGCAGGCTGAAGGCGAAGGAACGTTGAAGAGAAGAAAACCGAACGGAAGAAAGATAGCAGGCCGAAGACGAAAGAACATCGAAGGGGAAGAAGGACAGGAGACACTTACAGCCTGTCGCGGTCGTATGGATAATGCATGTGGCTCATTCGAGTTCCTTAGCGTATCTTGCCTTGTTGATTCGAACTTGGTTGTACTTGGTCGGGACTTGATTGGTACAGGACTTGTAATTGTTGACTGGGACGGGACTTGGACGGGATTGGATGGACGAGCGGGGCTGGACTCGGGATTGGACTTCGTCAAGGGGAGACGTATGAGGCGAGCTGTCGTCTCTTTAAACTATTGGCTGGGTGTGGCTGGGTAACTGGGGACGCGAGATGCCGTCAGGGTGTCGATGCAGATGGTATGTATGTGGAAGTAGACAGTATGTGGAAAGAAGGGCAGGGTGGTGGAGCCCTAGATGGCTAGATGGGCTGGCTTATAGCTAGATTCGGGCGCCGATGTCGATTTGGCAATGGCTGCCTGTAGTGGGTGGTGGGTGTCGATAGCGAAGCACCACCCGGCGACTCGATTGGCGATTGTCGATGAAAACGGAGATGGACGACAGAAGACGGACGGGCAGACGAATCAAGATGAGCGAGTGGAGGGGTGACACTGGGTGGCGGTGGAGGTTAGCTGGGTACGTCAGGTTAAAGAAGAAAGCAGAAGGGGATCTCGTAATGCAATGCAGACCGTCGTCGAGGGAGAGCAGAGAGGGAATGGGTGTGTGACAGCCTGTCACACGCACGCCATCATCATCGATCCCATCTCATCGCATCGCGATCCCCATCCGGATCGGCATCCCTTCATCTGATCAGATTCCACTCGGCTTCCCCCTGACCCTGCATCCTGCCGTCTCCCCTTGCGCTACCCGGCAACCCAAGCTCCATCCGTCCTTCCCCCAACCCCTCGGTTCGCCTCACTGGACCCACGCTGCCGGGTCAATGCTTGGAGATGCTTGGAGGGACCTTCGCCGTTCGCACGCCCTGGTTGGCTCCTTGGCGTTCTCTGAGGCTCTGTGGAGGTCGCTCATTGGCTGGGGCAGGTGGGTGGGCTCCCACACCGATCTCCTGGGTCTGCAGCACTGCGTGAGAGGAGACTGGAGAGCCGGAGTACTGGGTCGTTGTCGTTTCTTGGGTCGGACGGCACGTGCTTGGCGGGTTTACCTCAGCCTCTCTATCTTTTGCGTCGATGTCTCTCGTCTCTCCTCTCGCGTATGTTTCTCAACGCGCCTCGAGTCCCTGCTCAGAGGCTGTAAGCACTTGCAAGCGCGCTCGGTCGGATCCCCGCCTCGTTGCTCATCTGCACCCCGTATCCATCCCCAATCCCTAATCCACATTCACTCTCCTTGTTCACTTCCAGCCATCTTTTCCCAGCCGCGTCAAATAAGCTCGTTCCTCTTCATCATCCTTCAGTCTTCAGCCTTCCAATCTCCTTTCTCGAATCTCTTCTACCCAAGTATATGTATGTTATTGATCGCGATAATTGACCCTCGACGTTCGTCTCCCTTCTATCTCCCCTATCCGTATATGCTATACATTCATCTGAAGGGTGTATGTTACTCATCCAATCGAATCGAATTTCTACCTATACCAGGCAGATCCATTCACCCACCCCGGTCTCTTCAACAGCTTCCAATCGTCTTTCATATTTCCCTTTCTGCTCCTCGCTCGCTCGCAGTCTCTTCTGCCCATTCATATCCATCCATTCGTCTTCGTGCATAGCAAAAAAGGGAGGGGTTTGTCATCCCTGATGCACTGCTAGCGATCCTACGCACCGCTCTCCTCTTTCTGAATCTCTTCCACTTTCTCTCTCTTTCCCTCTTTCGGATATGCTATCTTCCGCATGCGCATGTATTCCCTTCTGCTTTCCCTTTCCCTTTCTCTGTTTCCTTCGTTCTGTTTTTAAATTTCACTCGTGACCACCTAAATATACCGTCCAATCCCCTCTCCGCTTCCCTCTTTCGAATACTCGTCTCCCACCGCTATTTTCTCCCGCTGCTATTTTCGCCAGTTCTGATGGTACGTTCGTAAACTCTATACTTGGTCCTTCGCCCCCCTTCGCCTTCCGTGCCCGTCTCATCAGAGTGCGTCCTCATCCGTCACTGTGCTGAGCTACAGTTATTTGCACCTTTTCCAATTCGTGAAGCAGAGGATCACGCAGGGAAGGCGAGCGTACGTGCGCACACTAACCTACGCAAGGATCTGATACGCACGAGATATTCCAGGTCACGTATTCAACACGTAAGCCCGAGGATAAATATGTTATCTCTCCCACCCGCCCAAACGCAAAGTATAATCCCACGTTCAAACCCAGAGCTTGAGCATAAACCAGATCGATGAACTAAAGGTCTACATATGAAAGTAGAATGTAGGGAATTGAACTGTAAACCGTAAACGACCTCGCGGCTTGCAGACTGGCCTACGCACTCCTCAGTGCTCGAGAGCCGTCAACCTTTCCGCCCATACTCTAGTGGTTATTCCAACACCCTACGCCAGTGAGCTCTGAGGGAGCGCCGAGTCACGGCGCTCCCGGGCTGCCTTAAGTTCCGAAAGCGCTGCCATGAGCGTCGATCGATTGATCGTCGGCGCGCCACTCTTGCCTCATCGGGAACTCTGGGTCTGGGTCTGGACTCCGAGTCTGACTCGGAGTCCGAGGTCCCGCAGGTATGTACTCTAGAGTGCCCGAAGTGAGATTCGTCGCCGTGCGCGAAAGGGTATATTAGTACGCACGAGGGCGAGGGATTGGTGAAATCGTGGATAACACCGTGAGAGGTGATAGGTAATCATAACTTACACCAAGTGCAAGTGCAAGGATAAACCCAGAGCTTAAGCATACATAAACCCGATCGGAAAAAAAATCAACTTATTCATACGAAGGTATGTACCTTTATACTCGACCATAATAGTATACGGAATGGAACTGTCAGCTCCCTCGCGAGTCGCGAGTCGCGGCTTGCACACACGCGCACCTGCCGTCTCCTTCCCCTCCTTCCGAATTCGAGTCGTCGACTCCCTCCTCCTCTACATATATCGTCCAAGACTTAGCGCGTTTCTTCCAACGTCCCAACACCCCGGGCCCCACAGGCAGGCGTCGGGTGATCAACGAGCTGACCGTGGCGCGGCGCGGCGCTCCCTAAGGCTGTCAACCCCGCTGTGCCAGTGGCGAATAATAAATGAAAGGAAAGGACGACTCGGCTCGGACGAGGATGTACAACTTGCGAACTTATTTCGCACCTAGGGCATCGGAGTCGAAATTGCCGGGTCCCAAGTCCAGCCTCAGGTCGCGCTGCGGGCATCTCTATCTCCTCACGAATGAAATAGTGCAGGCGGTAGTTAAGTATGATAGCACCCACTGGACGCCCGAGTAGCGTGAGACACGCCGAAGCTGACTTGAACGAAAGGATAGAGCACACTAATAGTTCGCAGAACCTAAACGCCAGCGCTTAGACAGGCACAAGGGGCAATGAACTCACATGGATTTATTAACCATAACATGTCAGGAGAGCAGAATACAAGTTACATTCCACAGCTTACTCATTTTACACGAGAGAGATGAATAAGTAGGGTATGTCGTCTCTCTCCAGCGCAAACCAACACCTAGACCCAGACCCAAACCCAGAGCTTGAGCATAAAGCAGATCGTGAAGTCCACCCATAAGTATGAAAGCATAAAGCATAAATCGGCTCGCGGCTTTCATTCACGCACCCCCCTCTCCATCTTCTCATCACGCGAGACCTGGGAGATGCTCTAAATGGGCCCAGAGTCATTAGCTTGACGCTCCCGTAGCTCTATCCCGCCCCGACGCGCACGCAGCATCATATCTCGCGTCCGAAATTCGATTTCCCTCATTTCCAGCCTCTCAGGGCCACAGGGCCCACG